GGGTTGGCAAAGCAAATCCGACACTCGAGCTATTTTCTTATGTCTAGTAGAAGAATCAAGATCACTTTACTATTTCTAATCAATAATTGTTTGCACATGTGTTATCAATTTACAGAGTACTCAGTAAGTGATTTAGCTCCATAAGCAACAAGGGAGGTGGGGCAGCCCAGTGGTTCAAGCATTCATTTGTCACGCTGAAAAATTAGATTATCACTATTCTTATTACTTCTGTATATATGTTTATTGTCATGAGAAACCATTTGATTGTGGTTAGAGATTGGATATTAGGGGCTTGATAAACTGACTTTTCATTTATTATTACAAATCATGTTCATTGTTTCACCGATACATGGAACAAAAGGTCTGTCCTAGTCTGTCGTACAGACCCTGAAGCAAATATATCCAAGAAAGCCCACGCAAGTCTAGAAAATGTGGCAAGTCTAGATTTCCTCAGCTTCTGAAAACGAAGAAAGTCTCATGGCTCCTTTTCATTATATTATATTTTTTTTACTATGAACTTTTTTCAGTAAAATATGTTCATTTCAGGGACTAGTTGTTAGTCTAGGTCCATCCCTGTGACAGAGGATATTTTTACTGTTTGTTTTACATTTTAACAGTTATTCATGTGAAATAAATCATTTACACCTTTATCCCTAAATGTAGTTGTTTCCAAAACAAACAAATGACAACAGTGTAATTAATTTTTTTTATTCATTAAACCTGACTAAGCATGTTCAAATGTTGCCAACATTGAAATGAAAGTCTGAAAAGATATAGAAGAAATATCATTTCTATCACCCCTCTTAAAACATTCATTTACAAATCTGTTTGTATGCAAATCAAAAAAGCCCTCTCTCTTGACATCCATCACAATTGCACTGATGTCGACTTCCTGTAATAACTCCGCTGGCCTTTCCATCAGCATTGGCATTGTAGCTGTAAAGGCCAGTTTCTGACATAGTGACCGATATTATCCTGCTCTCAGACACAAACAATGGCCCGCTCAGTCACTTCCCTTGACTCAGTATAACCATGACACCATCAAACAATTTCCATTTCTCGTCTGCTACATGAAAAAATAGAAATTCATAGAAATTCAGAAAACCCCAACTTAAACGTATCAAGGCTTTCTGTGACAAGATGATGCAGATTTCCTAAATCATGTACGTCATTATCAACTTGGAAAATCCAAAACATTCAGGAAAGTAATTTAAGGGGCAAAGTATTATGACTAAATTGGTGGAATTCCACACTGCTATATATGACAGCATTCTGAGTAATCACAACATGTTGGCTTCAAATGGGCAGAAAGCTGAAGCATGTACTCGATGGTTACCACTGTGGGGAAACAACTAACCCAAAAAGAATTTCCGTAAAACTAGGGGACCGTTAATAATTTATGGCTTGGGGGGATGATGATTTTATGGAAAAGCATGTACAATGTGACTGACCCCCTAAAATTTATGTACAAAGTATGCTTAACCCCCTGCATGTTTGATATACAAAATCAATGACCCCCTCTGCTGCAGATATTTTTCACGATAATTTTCAAATATTTTAATGTACAAAATTGATGAACCCCAATAGTACATGTGTACAAAATTGATGACCCCCTACCTCCCCAGAACAAAATGGGTGACACCCCTTAAAATCATCATTCCCCAAAAAAAATTATTAAAAAAATAAAAAATAAAAATAAATTATGAACGGTCCCAAAGTAAGAATCAGTCAGGATATCTTGGATTCAAAACTATCTAATTCAGAAGAATATTCTGCTTACATATTACTTACCCAAAACATGCTTTTCAAATATCAATACTAAATTTGATGTACTTCAAACAGACTACCCTGCAGCATGAAATTATCCTGGCAATTCCTTCGAACCATGAAATATCCATGTGTATCCAGCAAGAAAACCACTGATCTTCCTTGTCTAAAGCTGTGCCAAATGTAAGTATGGTCAATGTTTTCACTGATTTGTTCAAGCGAAAACCTTTCACCCAATCACCATTTGTTTGTGGTCTGAAACCTGGTCCTTTCACAACAGATTACTTAGTAACCTTTGTAACCAGTTACATTCCACATTTACAAGATAATTGGGGCTGAGGGCATCAATGTAACATAGTCACTGTAGCTGGTGTGTAATGTTACATCTACAGCCAAGCTGGACCAGATTCTGTTCAGTCAGAAACCTAGTTGTTCAGAGATTCAGTACTAGAGATTTCAACATATATTACTCAAAGAAAACTAAAGAACAACCAAGTTTATGTTTGATATGCAAGAACAGAGTTTACTCTGATTTCATTAGAGTAGTACATATACTAAAAACAAATGACAAGTATAAATGATTTGATAACCTGGACATTCATTTCATTGTACAATTTAAAAAAGAACCACATGTTGTAGAATGTTTTGAAGCTTCACAAAGAAGACTTCAACTTCTAAATGACATTCTGAAACTTGTTCAAAATACTTTGTAGTCTACAGGATCAGGATGTTTTGCAGGGTTAAGTATTGAAGTTGGGTCACAAAGGTCTGGAATGTATGGGCCTGCATACCTTGATATGCATATACAAATTTGAACACTTATGATTTCTTGAAGATTTTTGTGATAAACTGTCGGAACCATTTCAATACCTTTAGAGTCTGAAAAATCAAACACGTTGGTCAGCAACATTTTCTGTAGAGTTTGTTAATGATACATGTACGCCTTTGAGCAGCTGAGCTGAGCTGGATATCAGCGCTATACAAATGTTAGTATGTAATGTAGTATGTAATGTATCTGAACTACACCAGACGAAATATTATCAGGCTTACTCAAGACTGCTCTAGACTATTATAAGATATAAGCTTTTATCAGCTCACGAAACACAAATACTGTTTACTGGAACGTTTTAGTGATTTAATTTGTTATTTGGACTTACTAACAGTAAAACATTTTACTGTATCTGATTCAGACGAGTGTCTACAGCAACAATTTATTGATTTATTTATTATTGGATATTTATATAGCGCACATATCCACGCACTAGTGCTTGCTCAAGGCGCTGGTATTTTTTCCCTCGATCATTAGATGTCAATCTCAACGGCACATCTTATTATCAATCTCAGCTCCCTGGGGATCATACAACTCTTGCTGCCAAAGGCGCGCCAAGTTATTGCGGCTTTCCCATCCTTACGAGGTACCCATTCACAGCTGGGTTGACTGGAACACATAGTCACAGTACTTTGTCCGAGTTTACTGCACGTTGCTGTACCCGCAACTAGGTGTTTGCACTTATTCATGTGGCCACAATCTGGTCTATACCAACGGATTCATGGGTTCTTTTAATTGCACAGGGTTGTGTACTGTACACTAGGGGTTGTGACAACACTGAAAGAGCCTTCATCACACAAAGTTGACTCCATGGTTTTTACACCCAGTCACAGGTGGGCTCGATCCTGGCACCTCATGCTCGCTGGATCACTAGCTTGGCTCCTTAGCCAGCTTGCCCACCACACCCCATAACAAGTAGACAAAGACCAGTCTAAATTCCTCTGCTTGGACAACATGACATGCAGGTGCGATATGGTGAGGTCAACTTCAGTATATACAGTAACTAAGTGACAGTATAATGCAGTTACAGTTTTGAATCATAATACTGTCACTTGCATGATAAAGTAGCATACAAAGGACTTTGGCTCTGACTGACAGCAACAACCTCATACTTTCATTTCTCACAAAATATTTCATAACCATTTTCACAGAAACCCATGAAATAGTGATTACGCTTACATGTGTTCACTGATTCCAATACAAAACACAACTTTATACATGTACATGCAAGGACAATCACAGTGGCAACCTGAAAATATTCTCAGTGTTCAAAATATGTTAGTCGACTCTATGTTTCTTACATTTTGCATCAACAGTATATCACTGGAAGCACATGTGATACATATGGTCTCACCATCGGCAAGTGAATTTGTTCACAACTGCCTCTGTTCACCCAGCAAAAAATGGGTACCCGGTGAAATAAGTCATGTGACTATTAACCTTCTAGCACCTCCTAGGCATCTTGGGTTATCCCAGGGTAATAATGATCAGATTGTATTTTAGTGCTTTGAGCATGCCCCTCCGTGGTGCGGAATTCAGTGCATTACAAATGTCATTATTATTATTATTATTATTAATCATCACCATTTCAGCATGTTTTAACACTCATCATTTCCCAGATAAACAATAGTTCAGCTATATTTTCCTTTCCCCATAAACCCCATGAAATACTGAAACAGTAATTCCAACACCCCCTCTCAACATAAAGTAATGAACTACACAAGCAGCTTCTCATCAGGCACATATTATAGATGGACAGTCTTGTCAAACGTGTATATTCCTCCTATTCAGAAAATTCAGATAAAATAAACATTCAAATATTTAAGCGTTGAATGCATGACTAACCCGCTGGCTGCACAGCCAGACTTGCAGTAATGTGATAACATGCAAGGCCATACCTGTGTTACTATGAGTGTTATTGGGGCTAGAGCACTGAATGAACCTGACAAACACCTCAACAAAACCAGGCGTCAAAGTAAGTAATGACAACAGCTATAAAACACAACTCTACTTTCACAGAATGATTTCTAATTATAACACTATAGAAACAACATAATCTTAAGCCACATGAAACAACCAGCCAAAATATAATTAAAATTTTGGGTAAGAATTGAAATGCACAAAAGTGAAATCAGTTCACAGTCAGTGAAGGAGCTATAGTGTTGTTGGTTCAGCATACACTGCAACCAATATTATTTACATCTAATAACTAACATGTCCTGCCCGCCATATAGCTGGAAGATGGCTGAAAGCAGCGTTAAACAACAAACCAACCAACCAACTAATATGTCCTGAGATGTACATAAGTATTCAGCAAGTTTTACCCATGAAATCATGTCTGCCACAATTTCATGTTTAAATCACTGTCTAATATCTAATTGAAGGCAGAATATGTGATACTTACTGAACAGCTACACAGTGCAAGTCCACAAGTCCTCTAACTGACATCACATCACTACAAGAAAATCTCCACTTGACACAACTGGCTCATTTCCCCTCCTCAACAAGCCTGGTCTTCCTCTCATATGCCAGCACAACCATCACATGAGTCGAAGTCCTCCCTCACTTGATGACCAAACCATCTACTTCCAGAATCAGGAAATATATCTTCCGACAAGACGCCAAGGACATTCCCCAAATGTTTATTGTTTCCAAAGACATCAACTTAAACCCTCTAGTCTTCCGAGATCTCCATGTTTACTTTTGCCCTCTCTTATAAAGTCAGGAAATGTATTTTCCAATAATTTGTCAAGAACATATTCTCAAATGCTGATATCCCTCAAACACATCAACCTAAATTAATCTAGTTTCAGCCACCTCCTTGTTTGCGTTTGCCTCAACCGGAAGAGCACACACAGCCGATGCGAAGTACCTGCCTAGAATGCACATCGAGTCACGCGACTGGGGGTGTCTAATAAGGCGTGTTTACACATAGCCTGTCCCAACTTATCTGTGTAACCCTGCATGTTATCTCAGGTCAAATGTTCACCTCACACAGTAGTACAGCATTACCCACGTGGTTGTGGAGTAATTACAAATCTCTTGATCTCTAATCCTTTTAGCTTCTTCAGAAGCATGCCAGAAACATCTCTTATAGATCATTACATCATTTGTAGAAGAATAACTTCATTTTTTTATCAAAAGATTAAATAATCCTATACAGACTGTCCATCTTTTACATGGATACAGATCAAGCTGTAGGGTAAGAGTGAGTGAGTGAGTGAGTAGGTTGACAATATTCCAGCATTATCCATTCAAGCATAAATTACCATAAATTGGTTTTACTCATCCTACCAAAGTGGAGAATCAAAACTGGAATATCAACATGAAAAGCAAACACTTTTACCACAAGGCTACCTCACTATCCATACAAAATAACTGAGAAGGATTTTACAAACCTTTCGAAGTATTTACCAGCCTGATATTTCGAGAAAAGCCAAAAGTTCTGTCAGTCATAAATGTTTACCAAAGAAGGAAATCTAACAGTTCAAATGAGGAGAATCTGAGACGGATTTGTAAGGAAACTCTTCACAGCAACTTCCATCACACTCAGTACATATACAAAGTCAATAGAGCCATACAGATCACATTTGTTTAAAGAATTGTAATCAAAAGGCACAAGGTCACCACTAGGCCTTTCTTTATGCTATATTTAGTGATGAAATATTGAACTGTTCTCCTCCAGATCTGCTCTGGAAACAAGAACTACTGCCATAAGTAATATATCCCCCTGACTGAACCTTGCATTCTCGGAAAGAATAAGTCAAATGTAAATGCTTCATGTATTAGTGAATACATTATTATTTCCATACAGATTGTTTCTTTGTTGGGGTTAAACCATTTCATTAGAGATTAGCTGTGCGCTCAACAGTGAATGTTTTTACAAGCTGAAGGGGTTATGGGGATGCAAGGGTTTTGGTAAGATACCATACTTACCCTTAAGCTACAGAAACAAAGAGGTAATTTCCAAACAAATAAACTTATTCACAGAAGACCTTATGCAAGGGCTCTGGATTTAAGTACAGATGTCAAATCAACATGATTCCTCCACTACAAATATTGTTCTTCAAATCTATTGACTAATTTCTTCTGTACTGTTCACCATAAAATGCATATATTTGAGTGGTGACCCAGAAGTAGAGATTGTAATATAAAAAATACAATAAAGTCATAATTACAAGTGTCACATAAACTTTCATCAAAATACAGCAGTGACCCTCAAGTTTTGAATACACAATGCCATTCAGAAAGTTGTCAGATGTAACATATGTTATATTTGGGATTACACTTTCTCAGTAAAGTACAGATTCTAGTACTTTTGTGGAAGCGACGGTGGCTGAGTGGGTGAGACGGCTGACTTTGTGGACTGGCAATTAGGTGCCAGACTCTGAGGGTGTGGGTTCGAATCCCAGATGGGACTCAACCCAACAAAAGTACTAAAATCTGTAGTTTACTGAGAAAGTGTAAAATAACATATGTTACACTCAAGTTGGGCAAGATATAAATATATGGCTATGGCATGCTCCAGACAAGACTTTACAAGAAGCAAAGACTTTGACTGAGCAATAACATTGACATGAGCACTTGTAGCAAGAGTACTTCACTACTGATCACATATATCTCAACTGAATAGAACACAACTGATGTCAGTCACCGGTATGTTTGGTCTAGAATACTGTCATACAGCTGGAATATTGCTGAGTATGTCATCAAACAACAAATAATTAGCTTCATGCTACTTTCAAATGAACATCACTTGTAAAGCAATGTACACAAGATACCATTCTTTTCAAACTGAAGCCTAAAATTGTTTATGGTACAAAGATGCATAGTACTTCAACATAACATGGTACACCAACAGTGTGTAACTGATGCTGGAGGAGACATTCTGCACAGTACTTCTATTGTGTTTCCTCGTCATGATACAGTCCACTTAACATGCAAAGTCATTTACCCATATCATATTTCCTTGTACAAGTTCGGGAAAATCGGTAACATACAGGTAAATCAGTAACAAGAGTACTTCACTACTGACTTGCTGATATGCTGTATGTGGTGCAAAATATTGGTGCTATAGTTTACTCTTTTACGAAAACTGAAAACTCCTTGCATGATACACACTTCCATCTACACAGCTGTATGTTTGTCAAAATGTGAGCATTATACACAAGAAAATATGATATACTCTATCACCAACTGAGTATCCCTTTTTTCACAATATTCCCAATTATAACTGGAACTACATTTACTTCTGACAACAAACACAAGAATTACCAGAATCAAATCTTGGTTTGGGTTCCTGGCGACCGTCTTGACGTAAATCAGGTTGTGACTGATCAGGCTGATGTTTCAGTCTAGGGTCAAGGTCATAGTCTGCAGGCCTGGGCTGGAGGTACCCATCTTCAGACATTTTGTTTTTTCGCCTGGTTCAGAACGAGGCTCTGACTTTGCACATCTACTACAGACCCATCAGTTGTTAAACGTACATCTGGAAAAAGAAAGAAAAATTTACATATTGAAGTAATTAATATTCAATGAAAGGTCTTATTCTGTAATCTAATTAAACTTAATAAAAATGTCAGAGAGATGTAATTCAGGGAGTCTAGTGAAGATCTGACGCTTGTCGCAAGAGTGAGTGAGTTTTACACCACTTTTAGCAATATTCCAGCAATATCACTGTGGGGAACACCAGAAATGGGCTTCACACATTGTACCCATGTGGGTAACCGAACCTGGGTCTTCAGGCATGATGGCTTGTCACAAGAGGTGACAGATTCTGCAGATCCAGACATGGACAAAAGGGACACAACTCTGCAGAGCAATAGTCATCACCATAAACGTAATCCACATTTGCTGTCCTTGACGATGCTTAAGGATATTATCATAATCAAGGAATGTCCAAGATCTGTCGTATCTAAGGGTTTAGAAGTCACTTCCATAAATATTTTCAAATCTTCTGTTAGACCACTAGACCACCTATGCACAGACTGCCGTCTAATCAGTGACTACCTTGGAATAAAAACACATACAGTTTGGTCTCTTATCTAGCATATATACAAACAGTATGTATGATAGAACCAATCCCATATTTGAACAAATTCACTGATAGAAATCTATACATGTAAGTAAATATACATTGATTGTTAACAGGGGTGGAAATAACCCATTGCCCAACGCCCGAGTCCAGTGTTTTTTTTCTGTCGGGCAAGCAAATTTGTATATCACACTGTACTGGTGTCCAGTTGACTTTCCAATATTAATTATGTTTTTTGTTTTTTTAAATTAACAGGAAAACGTCCGGTATAGTGGAAAAATTATAAGGGCAAGTGATTTTACATGTGCCACTGTACCAGAGTACACTAGCAATTTTAAAGTTATTTCCACCCCTGGTTAACTGCTTTGACTTCCATCTACATTAGTTTGTTCTATACAATTAGAACTTTGAAATATGTAAACATCAAAACGCTAAAAAACTTCAAACTTATTTTCAGTATACATGGAGGATATAGTGATATTGTATGGCTAGTTCTTCTATGACCTCTAGTCAGGTATAAATGTTCCACCCACTGTATTAAAAAAAGGAGCAAATATAAATAGAAATATTTAAAAATGTATCCTATACCCATCCTCATTTATATTAGCAAGTAAATGAACACATGCACAAAAACTTCATACCTATTTCAGATCTGGTTAAACTTGTGACAGTTTTCTGAGCCTAAACACTGGTAGTTTATGCAAACTGGTGACCACCAATTTGAGTAAATGACAGATTTTGTGATTTTAACCTACCTTTCAACACATTGTTAGTAAGTCTTCCTTGTAAAAAGGAACAGGAGATGCTAACAGGAGATGCTAACATGCGATATTACATGCGAAATAATCAGCTGAACCCAAGCAGGATCTTCTATTATGTTAAGTGATGGACAGATTAAACCTCTGTAAACAGGATCTCAAACTAACGAGTCACTGGATGTATTACATATTTCTTCAGCTAGTCAAGTTTAGTCTGCAAATTTTGATTTACATACTATTGACCGACTAATTTAGATTTCTACCACAGGGGTGGAAATAACTTTAAAATTGCTAGTGTACTCCGGTACAGTGGCAAATGTGAAATCACTTGCCCTGAAATTTTTTCCACTATACCGGCCGTTTTCTTGTTGAATTTTTTAAATAAACAACATAATTAACATTGGAAAGTCAACTGGACGCCAGTACAGTGTGATATACAAATTTGCTTGCCCAACAGAAAAAAACACTGGACTCGGACGTCGGGCAATGGGTTATTTCCACCCCTGCTACCAAGACCGGACTCACATTTACGGTCCCTGATTTACAATGATGAACATTTCTTTCAACCCTATGTTTATGTCCTTTTCCTTAATTCCTGTTATAATCCCACCAATCTAGACCTACGTCTAAACCAGACTACATTCCAGAGCCAGAAATCTGGTGTATGCCAAATGTCTGCTATTTTTGTGTAACAAAATACAACTTAGTAATGATGTATGGACTGCAACATAAAATTTCACTACATTTATGGCAATACTGCTAGCTGTGATTCAGTGATCCAAACATACAATTTTCACCATTATTTTGCCTTATATATCTTATGGAATCAGTTTCTGAGAATAGTGGTTACTCCTTGGCACTGATTCTATTTATTTAATTAAAGTGAGATCTGCAAACATCAAACACTATTCACATGTCAGTGACGTTTACAGCGAATTAATGAGTGCTCTTTTAGCATATTAGTGTCTTTAGGCACTACCAACAGAGTTTATGCTAGTTATATATTTGATATTTTATCCTCGTACCTGCAAACATCGAACACTATTCACATGTCAGTGACGTTTACAG